CACAGCTGCCCTCCCGACAAGCTCAGGGGAGGCCTGCATGGCCGTCTTGCAAACTCAGAGACCTAAAGTAACCACAAAGGATGGTCTGAAATTAAACATTCACTAAAGCAGTTATGGCGGGTAGTCACTTCCTAGGCCAGTATCTTCACTGACAGGGCCAACCTTTACCTTAACTGAGCCTATCTGTCTTTTCGCATTTATAATAACACTAGAGGCCTGGTGCACAGATTCATGCACTGGTGGGGTCCCTCAGCCTGGCCTGCACCCTCTCGCAACCTGGACCACTCGGGGGATGTCAGACTGCAGTTTCGGATCGGGTCAAAACTGGCAGTCCGACATCCCCTGAGGGATGTAGTAGTGTGCCAGGCCGCCGGGGAGGAGCCTGAGCCCAGGCCGGGCACTGCTCCCACTCATCCCAGCCCTGCTGTGCCTGCTGCCGTCCAGTAGCCGCAGAAGCGCTGCCACGGAGGCGGGAGAGACTCCCACCACTGCAGCTGCGCCTTCCAGCTGTGAGCCCTGTGTCTGGGCCCCAATTGTCAGCTGAGCAGTGCTCCAGCTGTGGGAGAGCACTGGCCACCAGGGGGCAGCTCCTGTGTTGAGCATCTGCCCCCTGGTGGTCAGTGTGCTCAGAGTGACCGGTTGACAGTTCATTGGGTTGTTCAGTTGTTTGGCCGCTTAGGCTTTTATATAGAGAGATATCCTTGAAATGTCTGGGTAACTTGTAACTTCCCTTTTTCTGGACCCCTTGGGGCACAACCTAATGTGCCGGGGCACCAGAGGTTTCCCCGCTTTGCTTTCTCCCATTTGCTTTATCACCAATGGATTTCATGTAACCTACGTCTCCTCCTTTGATTGCAATGTGTAAAAATAGATGAAAACTGCCATTCTCCAGCGCACTATCCCAACCCGTTGAGACACTGCTTCCCGGCAGTTGTCGACAGTTTGGTTCAAATAAACTCACAAAAATTCTTTACGGGTTTGAATGTTCTTATGTTAACATTACTCAGACCAAGGAATGAAGACCCAAGGAGATGTGTCTGGTGCTCTCCGGAGAGGCAAAGGCCTTGGAGAATACAGGAGATGGGCGTGGGCACCACTAGCACAATTTCTCGCCACCTCCTGAATGCCCGGCTCACTCAGCTCTTCTTAGCAACCTTGCCACGTTGCTAGGAAGTCCTTTCCACAGATGGGGTATAAGAGGCCCAAGGAGGGGGAAGGACTGGTCCCAGATCCCGCAGAATGGCATTGGCCAAAAGGACAACAGTGTAGGTCTCTTCTGGCAGTGCTCTCTCTCCTATGGCTCACAGCCCAACAAGAGCCATTGGTTATGAGTCAAGTTAGCAACGGGCATTAAATTAAGACCAGGGCTCAGGGCATTTGGTATAGGGCTCTTTTTCCCTTCCTCCCTGTACCTTACCATCTTAATGAATTTGTTCCCCAAACCTCACCAGTGGGTACACCTCCACTCCCACCCTCTGTGGCTGTGGAAGAGTCTGGAGGGAGAGTGTGTGATCCTGTGCTTCTGGAAAGGAGAGAGGCATGGAAAATAGAGGGGGAGCCTCCTCCAGACAGAATATGAGGGGTTCTTAGGCTTGAGCCTGTTCCTCTTGCCTCCCTCGGTCGGTCGTAGGCGGCGGGAGCAGCACCATGAGTTCTGTTGGGGGAGAGGGGTCAGACCAAACCTGGGGTCAGCAACTTCAGGAAAGAATTCAGAGTCTAGACCCAAGCTGTAAGAGAACAATTATTGGGTAAATTAAAGAGGTAGAAAAAGTGATTTCTAAAAGAAATGGGCTTAGGAAACAAGTTATGGAGGAAAAGGAAGGGCCCTTGGAGCTTGGGAGTGGAAGCTAATGGTAACGTGCCTGGGGAAGGGAAAGGGAAAGCATGGATGTGCTCCCAGGAGGGATAGCCACTGGGCCCTCTGTCCTAAGGGTTTTAAGGGCAGATATTTTAGGGGAGGTCTCAGGAAAAGATCTTAGAATATTCAGTAGCTTTCCAGGTGTGCCCATTCAGGGTTGTAGCCTCTATTGATTGATTGGCTGGCACCAGGAAGCGGGGAGGGGTCATTATTCAATGCAGCGGGTCAGCCATGGCTGGTCTTATGCTTATCTGAACCTGGAGCTGAAATACAACTTAAGACCTAAGTGTTATCTCTAGGGAGGAAAGGTCAGGGGATTCCAACCTTGACCGTGATATGCTAGGAGAGGAAAGGTCACACTGGGGGCAAGGTCCCGCTCTACAATTGATTATTGCTAGGCACCTGGGGCTTTCCACCCTGAAGATCTATACCTGGCCCATTGTCCTTGCTCTGCTTATGTCGGTCTAACTGCCTACAACACCTCTACCACTGGGAGGGGATCCTGGACCCAGCCAGGTTGACTGCAGGAAGGCTGCCTGAATTTCCTCTCCAGATTCTGGGCCTAATTAGGTCCCGAGACAAAGAGTGGCTGTGTGCTGGCAGCGCCCAGGGCAGCTCCTCCCTGCTGGGCCACTGCCTGGATTTGATCACCTTGCTGGGTTGGAAGGGCCTCTGGGCAGGTTGGGCCAGGTCTCCCCTCCTTAACTCTGCCCTGAGCCACAGAGGACCAACAGGTACAGATAAAGACACTGAGGCCCAGAGAGTGGTCACACAGCAAAGTGCTGGGCAAACCCGGTCTCAGATCTCGAAGACCAGCATGCTTTATATGTTCATACCAGTCTCCCTTTCCCCTCCACACCCTGAACCTCCTGGAGGCCCAGCAGGCATCTCAGCACCTCAGTTTCCCCTGAATGGTAAGGTTGGGCAAGGGGTGGGGCCAGCGCTGTGAGTGACCACAGTCCCTTTCAGTCCCAGGTACTGACCCAGCTGCCCCCACAAACTCCCTTGGCAGGCCCTGACTGTGTACCCTACTTGCTCCCTCACATTTAACCCCCACAGAGAGTCTATTGAGGGTCTTGCAGAGGGATTCACCCACTCCCCACCCAGCTCCAGGCTGGAGATGAGAGTCAGAGGGGCTGGAGGCTCAAAGCTCCAGATGCCTGGGTGGCCCCTGCAACCCCTCATCTCCCAATTCCCACATCTACAAGGAGCTGCCATCAATCTCCATGACAACCATTGCCTTGGCCTCCAAAGGCCCAAAGACCCCCTTCTCCCAGAGAAAGGCATCCTGGCCTCTCAGAGGAGACTTGAGGGTCTCAGGCTGGGGTGCTTTGTTACAGCTTTTTGGGGACTTGGGACCTCCCAGGCCCTCACTTTTTAGAGCTGGATGTTGGGCTAAAAGACCCAGACCGGGCCCTTTCCCAGGCCAGGGAGAGGCCCAGTGGGTCCTATCCACTTTCAGCACCACTTACTGAGTACGTGGTCCCTGCCAGGCTCTGCTTGGGTGCTGGGACCCAGACACTTGAGCAGACACCAGCTATGGGAGAAACAGGTTATCTGTGTACCAACAAGGCCCAATCTCAAGAGGTCCCAGAGACAAAGTAAATCTAGGGATTTGGTAGGAGAGGCAGGCTTTAGGGAATCTGGCAGAATCCAGGCAGAAGGAACTTCAAGGGCAAGTCCTGGGGCAGGAAGCCCTCAGGGAAGAGCAGCAGGGACCGGCCTTCAGGGTGGCGCCTGGGGAAGAAGGCCCGGTGTTCTAACAGGTCACTTTAACTCTCCGGGAGGAGAGCGCCCGGGTCCCAGGGCCCGTGTGGGGGTGACTGCGATGAAGCTTGTGGAACCAGGGCACAGAGCCTGGCTCGGAGTAATACGCTCAGTCAACCGCGGCTGTGGTTCGTGGTCCATACCGCCCCCGCTCCTTGTCCCCTCCCCAATTCAGGGCAGAGCCCAGGCTGGTGCCTGCAGTGGGGTGCGGGGTGGGGAGCAGAGGAGGAGACCCAGGCGGGCGCCCGCACAAGCTCCGCATCCAGGAAAGAGTCGGGGAATCCAGGCCCCGCGTCACTGAGGTCTCTCGCCAGTTCCTGGGCAAGAGGCCACCCTCCCGAGGCCGTTTTGACCCAGCCCCCACCAGGCTCGGCCGGGCCACCTGCTCTGAGCGGGAGGG